TGTTCACTGTGGTAAACAAAATAATAATTTCATCTAAGTAAGAGTTTTTTTTTTCTTCCCAATTTGGAAAAAAACCTTACGTGATAGAAAAAATATTATTTTCGAAATCTGCATAGCTGATTTATGGAAAATCCATTATTAAAACCAAAACAACTTTTATGAAGTTTAAATTTGCAGCCCTGTGTTAGTGTATTAGCATATAACTATATATATATATGCCTAGCAAATTACTTGTAAAAGCATTTGAATATTGAGCTTAAATACCATGTTTTTGTTCAGTTACAAAAAAAACTCCAACACAAATGTTAATAACCAATAAGTTCCTTTTTGTCCATAAACATTAAGTTATATTATAATAATTAAAATGGTTAGGTAATATGATGTAAAGGTTCATGAAAAATACAAATGATTGTGGATAGGGAGGAGCACATTACATTTTAAAAAATAATTTTAATATAATTTAATATGATCTGAGTAAAAATAGTCATATATTTATTAGGGAATTGACTACGAAGATTTGCCTTTAAAGAACATTTTTACGAACAATTTACAGACATGTTTATATATTAGATTGTTTGGTTAGGTGATCCAAATTTAAGTAAGTATAAAATGTTAAACTTCTGCATTGTCAGTTTGTTATTGTGTGTTGTTCTGAAATGCTTTAATGAAAAATACTTAATAGCTAAGACAGACTTATTTTATTTATTAGATTATTTCTTCCAGTTCGAGTACTTAGAATGGATATAAAATGTTATTTATGACTGTATATATAACTAACATTTTTTCTAAAGCTATCTGTTTTCTAGTCTTAAGGAGAGAAAAACTTGTCTGATGGTACATCAGAATTTGAATTTTTTGACAGCAAAGTAGTTTTTAAGAATTGAAATTTTTGCTAATAAAAATTTTCATTCTTTAAATTTTCTACAATTAACTTGAATTCCAGGTTTTTAATGAAATTTAATTGTATTCTTACTACACTCGTTAATACATTAATATAGACTGCCGTATCAGACAATGAGTAACACTGTTATTCACATGAGGATTTATTTCATTTATATTTCAAAGATATTATTTTTGCTATCATATATTAGAAGAAATATTTATAAAGTATGGGAAAGTTCATTATTACAACCTTTTCAGATGCACTTTTTTATTTAAATCTATGTATTTGTTAATTAGTATGCATTTTTACAGTAAGGTTTTCTTTTCACAGCTTTCAAAGAATACAACTGGTGAGATTACAGATGTAAATCAATTAAATGATCAACAGCAACACCTAGTGTTTGTTGTTGATAACAAGTCCTTTGTAAAGGTATGACTGTTATGAATTTTTTAATGTTTCTGTGTGACCACTACTTATAGTTCTAATAAGTGATTAAGTTTTACGGTAATTTTTATCTAAATTTTCAAGTAATTTAAACTGTTTCATTTTTTATATAGATATCAATGATCTCTTTACAGTTAATGTTTATTTTCATATTACTCAGGATACTCTCCAACTGTCATCAAGAAACATGGAAAAACTCTCAGAAATAAGCACTCTCTTAAGTTATATACCTCACCAAAAAGTTGTTGTGGAGTATAGGTTAGTCATTTTGATTTTTGTTACAAATTGTATTTTTTATATGACATTTTCAACTCGTTACTACAAGGCTCGGCATGGGCAGGTGGTTATGGCGCTCGACTCTCAATCTGTAGGTCACGGGTTCGAATCCCCGTCATACCAAGCATGCTCGCCCTTTCAGCCGTGGGGGCATTATAATGTGACGGTCAACCCCACTATTCGTTGGTAAAACAGTAGCCCAAGAGTTGGCGGTGGGGTAGTGATGACTAGCTGCCTTCCATCTAGTCTTACGCTGCTAAATTATGGATGGCTGGTTCAGATAGCCCTCGTGTAGCTTTGCGCGAAATTCATAACACACATTACTACACGGTATATCAACTATTTAATCAGTTACAGATAAATATTTGCAGAGACTAATAATAAACAAGTCATTAATCACAGATAATAAATAGTGAAGAAACAAAGAGGATTAATACATGCTTATGACATATGTACAGTAGCGCCTACTCAAAATATTAGTTATAATAACTGAATATATATTACTACAGTTATATTCTATAACAGTTATGGAATGGTGAAATTAGCAGTTATTTCAGCTGTGACATCAGTGAAACTTGGCTTGCTCTCAATGTCTCAAACTTTAAGCTTGTTCAGAATAATCATTGTATTTTAATGATTATAACAAGTTTAAAAAAATGTTTGATAATTGATAAACTAGATATGGCTAGATGGGTGGAACTTCTAACATCAAATGGGAACAAAAGATCTTGTTAGAGCAAAAAATAGAAATATGTTGCATTCCAAACTTTGTGGTTGTAGATGTGTTATAAGGATGACAGTCAAATATCATCTTACAGAAGTATCCCAACAGTTGGTGGTGGGTACTAATCACCTGCTTTCCCTCTAGTTTATCTTTCCAGAAATATCTGAAAACAAAGAAACAAACTCGTAAAAGCTACATGTTTCTCTGCATTCTACGATATTTTTGTCTTTTCTTTTAAATATTCGATTTATATTTCTATTATATATGTATTTATTATGTGAAATATTGTATTAAGAAACTGATGCCATATTAAATCTCATGTTTTTTATAATTTATTTCACGTTTTTATACTTTGTTATCAGATTTGATATTCAGTTAAGAGAATGAAATTGTACTAGATATTGCAATTTCTGCTTTCAGCTCACCAAATATTGCCAAAGCTTTTCATGTAGGCCACCTGAGGTCCACAATTATTGGTGGTTTCATAGCAAATCTCCATGAGTTTATCGGCCACGACGTTACTCGACTCAACTATCTTGGGGACTGGGGAACACAATGTGGTAAGCAAAAATTTCTGTGTCTGGTGTGAGAATTAGGGCCGTTAAGTTTCTTTCATTTGAAAGAATAGTCATGCTTTACGTTTCTACAGTAATGATGTATAGTCAGAGATTAGGTCAGGGAATAGTTTGTTTTATACAGTTTATCCTAGCTATGGCAGTATTTTGATGTTAGATATTTGTAATATTTATGATATGTATGATTTGTACATTTATATATAAATATGTTTTTAAAACATGTAATGGTATCTGAAGACTATTATAAGCCAGTTGGATAAATGGGAGAAAAGGTGTGATTGGAGACTGTTAAAACTGAAGTATCAGTTAGTGAATAGTCAGGTATTATTTTTCCCTTATGGCTGAGAACCCTGATTTATTTAGTCTTTTTGTAGTAAAGAATGAATTATAATTGAAATTACTTTTATAATTAAATAGAAAGGATTAAAAGGAAATAAATATTAAAATCTCAGTGTTAATTCATAACAGTTATTTAGAACAGCAATGTATGTATTGTTTTTTCAGGTTTGTTATTGGCTGGCTACCAACAGTTTGGTTCTGAAGATGACTTGCATCAAAACCCACTTTATCACTTGCTAAGAGTAGGTTTCTGTGAATTATATTTCATTTAGTATCATCTATTTTTTATGTATAGAGAGGGAGATTTATTTATAATACTAGTTATATTATTGCTTGACTTGCTTATAACACATGATGGTAAGGTTTTAAAAATAAATTGATATTTATAAAAACTATAATTTAGAATAAATTAGTGAAAAATATTTTCATTCAAGTGACATGACTACTTTGGCAAGGGAGTTGAATCATGGTTATAACTATCACTCTTAGACAAAGAATAGGTATCATCATAGTCTAGTGATTAGTCTGCTTTGACTTCGAATCCAAGGGTTCATGGTTAGTGCTTCTGTAAAACATTCACTCCACACTTTGGGGCTGTTTGTGTGATATGAGAGTAATGAGCAAATCTCAATTTTTGATTAGACAAGAGTTTGTGGAGAGTTTCACTGACTAGTTGTCTTTTTTCCAGTCTATGACTTCAAAATTAAGGATGGTTACACACAGATAACTCTTTTTGTGTAGCTTTGTGTAAATAATCTGAAACAGAAATTTATATTTGGTTATGTAGTCTGAATGTTAATGGGAGGAGCTTAAATCTGATAGTTACTTTTGGTTAGAGACTTGGTTCTTAGTCAGTGTGACCAACCTTCTAACCAAAAGTAATTATCAGAATTTTCATACTCTAACTTTTAATGTGTGTCTTTATGAAATTTGGTTAGCTTTAAGTAAACATTACAAATCTTTTAAACACAAAAACTCACACTTTTTTTTACTAAAGATTTGTCCACAAACATATGAAGTCAGAGTGTTGACAGCTCTGAGTGTAAAGTGATTTTCATCTTAAGTTTAAAAATTCTTTTCTTCATCTGAAAGTTTTAAAATTTCATTTCCATAACCTAGAAAATCTCCTAAATAAATAGTAAATGTTTTTTCTTGGTAAAAACATTATATTTTATTTGTTATTTTCTCTACCCTAACTCTATACGGACTCAGTCGATTTGATCAACCTTGAAACCATCATAAAAAATACAAAATAATTGTAAATTACCCTTTTTTGTTTCTAGAATGACTGCAGGTTGTAACACGAAACTACTGTTTAACTCTTTTACTGTGGGCTCGGTCCCAGGGACCGACCTCATAACAATTTTGTGTGTTATAGTTTTCATGCTATAACTTTTAATACAATAAGCATATCTTCACAAAATTTTGCAGACTATCTGTAAACATTACAAGGCTTTTGTTTGCAAAAATATCAGATTTTTTAGATTAAGTTTTAAGATTTTTTTAAGTAATGTTTTCTCATGCATTTTTTCTTTTTGAATGTTGACTATCCAACATGCAAAGTAATTTTGATTTTAAGATTAAAAATATTGTTATGCATCAGAAAATTTTCAAATTCCACATGCAAAATCTTTATAACCTTCAGATAATTATCAAACATTTTCTTAAGAAAAAAGATTATGTTTTATCTATTGTTTTCACTATTGTATCTCTGTATGTGTTTGGTCAATTTGACCGACCTTGTAACCACCTAAATTAGGAAATAGAAAGAAGTTATGCTTTTTTCCTTCTAGAATGACTACAAATTATAACACAAAAACACAAAAGTTTATTCTAAATAACTTGAATCTATTAACATTATAGGTCTATATATGTATTTATTAATTTTATTTTATTGACCATTCAGCCATGCCTGACTAACATTACAGAAGTTGCAATGACGCGGCACACGTGCACTTATGTTATGATATCCAAGAATATAGAACTGGCCTTTACAAAGTGACCTATCTTGGCTGTGTTCTAGTGAACTAATATTTTGTGAAGTACAGTCACATTATTACTATTTACAATTAAGTTCTTAATTTTCAGTTATTTTTCTTAAAACGTAGAACAGTAAGTAAAGAAGTATACACTCGTTTGCTGTTTGCCATAAGTTGCTAAGCCTTATCAAATTTTACACTTGGAGGATGTAAACGAAAATAATATTTTTTAGGTTTTATATATTCATTTTGAAATAACAAAAAAAGTATAAATTACTATATCAATACCACTATAATTTATCAAACTTAATAATTAAGCTGTATTTGGGGTCTAAAAAATATGATTTTTGAGCTCACTAATATTCTACCTTACTGCTTAGAATCTAGCGTGAAAAGAAAGAGTTTCCTGTGCAAATCCTTCACAGAAGCTGGGAAAACCACTAGGGGGACATTCTAAGCTTTTGGTTGATTATACAAATGTCATTGGGTGAAGTAGGTGTATCTAAGCATGTATTATCAAAAATGGAAGAGGTGGATAGGGCCACCTTGGTTGATTCAATATATATATATTTACATCTCGGAAAACAGGAAAAGATAGGGGTTTCTTATCTTATATTCTAACTAGTTAATATGATTAATTTGAGTATCTAATTCTTAAGACACTATAGACTTTGTATTTGGACATCACAAACATTTAATTTGAATCAATGCTGCATTTAACGTACCACATGACACACAAAAATCGATATTTAGGATTTTTTTTAATATTTACTTTTTAAATTAAGTAATGTATAATACTAAAATTTAAATTATAATCTACAGTTTGAAACAAAACGTATTGCTATACATTCATAAAATAGTAGTTCAATAAAATTTTGAATGTAAGTCTACAAACACGATCACATGGCCTTTGACACATGAACATAAGAAGACCCATGTCAGTAGGTTTAAGGCTCCTAACAGTCCACATCTTATTGCCCTTTGAACCATGTCTAACTCAAATCTTCTTATACAGACTACAATCACTCTGCAACTGTGTAGCTCATGATATTCTATTGAATGACAACACAGAAGTTGTTCGCAAGCATACCTCATGATAAACTTTTCATTATCTTACCTAATCAAACCTAATAAGTTTTTACTTGCTACATTTGAAATACTTTTACAAATATAAATACAAAATATACTTGAGAAACAAGAAATATAGTAGTTTCCTTTGACCTCTTGTTTTGTTTTTTTTTTGCTGATGAAATTTAAGCCTACTTTTTTATAATTCTTGTATTAGTATACTAAAGAATCTTTATTTTCTTAAATAATGCACATAAGAATACAGAATAATATGCATAAAGCAAACAGTGTCCTGTAACTATAATTTAACTGGCTTTTTAACTGAGACAAAGGGCCTTAAATTAATTCCACTAGCTGCTCGATCTGAACACTGTTCACAATAACCTAATTATCCATTTCTCAAAGGTCATGTCATTGAATTCTTGCAACATCATTTTAAACTATGTTATTTTTCCAGCACCATTTTGCATGCCCTGATGGTTAGGGCATTTTGAGTGTTTCTTGACCAGTCCATCCTGGTTATCAGGGGTGCTCAACTTGCAATCTGCAGGTTGTGAGTTCAGATCCAGTTACTGAAGATGCTTGTCCTTTTAGCTATGGGGGCATTATAATGTGATGGTCAATCTCACTTTTCATTGGTAAAGAGTAGCCCAAGAGTTGATGGTGGGTAGTGTTGAATAGCTGCCTTCCCTCTAGTTTAACACTTTCTAAATTAGGGACAGCTGTATGTGAAACTCAACACACAAACTAAATTTTACCAGCCCATCAGAAATTCGAAAACTTTATGAATAGTAAAATTGTAAAATCATCATATTTTTATTTACGTCATACTGTATGTTGGAAAAATATATATCATTAATATTCCACAGGTTTATGTGATGGCTAACAAAGAAGCTGAGAAAAATTCTTCTTTTCTAGATCATGCAAAGCATCTGTTTTTCCAAATGGAGAATGGTGAGTTTTTACCATACTAGGTAACTATTTAGTTACATCTTAGCATTAGCATTCATTTTAGAAACGTAAAATTAAATGTGGTTAAGTCAGTCTTCTTTAACTCTTTCGGCACAGGCTCAGTCCCTGGGACTGACCTCGTAACCATTTTGTGCTTGTTTCAGTTTTAAACCTTTTAAATTATTAAGCTAATGTTAACCAAATATGGCAGATTATCAGTAAGCATTACAATGCTTTCATATGCAAAATATCAAATTTTTTTGTCGTAAGGTTTGTAAAGCAATGTTTTTCTCTTTTTTTTCTTCTTTTTACATCTTGCCTATCTATCATGCAAAGTAATATTCATTTTAAGATTAAAAATTCTTTTATGCATCAGAAAATTTTAAAATTTCACATGCAAAATTTTTATAATGTCCAGATAGTTATAAAACGTTTCTTAAGAAAAAACTTTATATTTTATCTGTTATTTTCAGTAATTAATCTTTGTACAGGTTTGGTAGATTTGACTGATCTCGCAACCACCATAAAAAATTAGGAAATAAATATAAATTATGTCTCTTTCATTCCAGAATGAACACAGATTATAACATGAAAACATAAATGTTTAGACTAAATAGCTTAAATCTCATAACATTATACATTTATATATATGTATATATATTATATTGACCTTTCACCCATGCCTGGCTAACAATACAGAAGTTACAATGATGCACCACACATGCACTTATGTTACCATATCCAATAACATAAAACTAACCTTTGGTCTTTACAAAGTGACCTGTCTTGGCACTGTTTTAG